TTGACGAGGCAAGGATGTGAGAGTACTCTCCTCTTTGCCGAACAAAGTCAACCAATTTAGCCCAAGGTTCAGCTAGAGGGTACTCAAATTTATCTGAATCAGCAACAAGTACCTACAAAAGTAGAAACTTTGAGGCCACCACAAGCAGAAAAAAGTACATGAAGAGGTGAGGATGTAGATTACCTCGGAAACAGAAGGATGACAAGAGGCAGCTTGAGCGGCGGCTTCATGAAGAGAAGAACCAGAACCAGCCAATAACAAAGAAATCGTAGAGCTCTCACCCAAAGAACCTGCTGCAACTACTGTACTCACTGTCTGAGCTTTGATTGAACCACTCTCATGTTCCGCTAGAATCAGAGTGCTAATCTGTATTAACCAAATATGTTACAAAACGAAGTGTTATTGTGAAATCCTCATCATACGAACATCAAATGTTTATAGAAGCAAATTGGCTATTTTTTGAGTAAAATTAAAAAGTTCTCTTTTTTTTCACAGGACTGAAACATTTGAAACCACCAGCACAAAGGCTGATACTTTATCATTTCCATATGAAAAAACAAAAATCGGAGTTCAAGACCAATAAAGTGTAATTAACTGTAGCTACAAATCGATCTTCGAGCAAACAAGAAATTACGAGAATGAATGATCGATTCCAACGAAAAAGGTAGAACTGAGGAAGAAGAAGAGGCTTACGCATCGAGAGAGGTTGGTAACGGAGAGGGATCGAGGAATATTCGAGGCCACGAACTTGTTCTTCGTCAGAGCTCTCAGTAGAACAGCTCTCGTCATCGTTTCCTTTTCTGATTGGCTTTCTCAATCTCTCAGTCAAATCGGAATTATCGAAAAACAAGTAAACAAAAACACAACAAACGGCGTCGTATGACTGTTCCGCTTGCTGACATAGCAAATGACACCGTTTCTTGTGGGATCTTTTAACGGTGCCGTTTGAATATAGTTGATATCAATTTGTTTGGTTGATAACCTTAGGATGGTCAAAGGTCAAACTTCAAAGATCAAAACTAATTACTTCACTTTCCATTTTAGATTAGATACACCATAATTCTAAAATTCTAATCTTTATAGTATGAATCTATGATGATTCCTTCCTATTTTTTATTTCCTTCTTAAGAAGAAGGAGAACAAAAAAAAAATCATAACTTTAAATGATGAAAAGTTTTGCTACCAAAAATATGGCATTTTGAGCTTCCACAGTTTACCAGCGTAAGTGGGATCACGAACGGCTTTAGGAGCAGATTCGGAGTCAAAGAGAGAGAGAGAGAGATAGCTCATTGTCGAGATCTGCTTCTGTTAATTTCCTCTCTTCTCGCTCGCAGCCATGGTTTCCACCACCAAGATCAAGTCTGTTGATTTCTACAGGTACCCTCTTTCGCATATCCTCTTTTCAGTTCCAGTTTTGATGATGAATCTCGATATTGGCTTTTAACTCACATGCGTAAAGTTTGAATCTTTTTTTTTATATTTGGACATTATGAGCCGGATTATGCTTTGTGAGCATTCAAAAAATTGGTTTTTGTCTTCTCGCTTCATCATGATCATGAATTGGCCGTCGGATTATGGATAATTTCTCTGAGAATTGTATACTTTTGTTGTCTGTACTTAGAGCTAAGTGTAATTTTTCCTGTCTTAATTATGATCCTTTAGGAAAATCCCAAGAGATTTGACAGAGGCATCTCTCTCCGGTGCTGGATTATCCATTGTAGCTGCCCTTGCTATGGTGTTTTTGTTTGGAATGGTAATATCCTCTTTGCCTTGTTTTCTTCTCTCAATTTCATGTTGTCTGATCCTCGGACATATGCTTATGTATACGGTCCAATGATTCTAGTTAATGGTCTCTTTAGCGTCTTTACTGAGATTTGGTCCTTTTATCTTGCAGGAGCTGAGTAACTATTTGGCAGTTAGCACTAACACATCTGTTATAGTTGACAAAAGCTCTGATGGCGACTTTTTACGCATTGATTTCAATGTCAGGTAGTCAAGTGTTTTACGGGTTAGAATGAACAAAACCAACATGTCATTTTATCACTATCGTTCCTTTTTTATGTGTGTTTCAATCTTCTCTACAATGCTGGTGGTTGCTTGATATGTTGACATTTGGTTCATGATCTTTTATGTAGCTTTCCTTCTCTCTCGTGTGAATTTGCATCGGTTGATGTGAGCGACGTGTTGGGAACTGTAAGTTTCTGTCTCCACTTCTCAGTTTTTCTGTTTCTCTGATCCCATTCTCACTGAGAGAATACATTTTCCGCTGGTTCTTTGTCAAAAAACACAAAATTCTTGACAGTTTCTTTAGTTGCAGAGATGGCTCTTTAGTTGTATGTTGTACTCACGCTAGGTGTTTAAGTTCGGTTGTGCAATGACATTAATTATTGTCAAATATCCTATGTTTAAACTTTTGTTAGTAATTCTTCAGAGCAGGTTGAATCTTACGAAAACGATTAGAAAAGTTCCAATTGATGCGCATTTAAGAGCCACTGGTGCAGAATTCCATTCCACCACTGGATTAGATCTCATCAACCATGGGGACGAAGATCATCATGAAAATAATAGTTATGCTGCTATACCATTAACTGGTGCTACTTTTGACAAGTTTTCACATCAGTAAGTTGGCAACTTCTTAATATTGTGTGTACTACTATGAGTACTTAACGATGATCAATGAATGAAATCGGACTTTCTTTGTGCAGTTTTCCCATTTTGGTTGTTAATTTTTATGCGCCATGGTGCTACTGGAGTAATCGCCTGGTAATGTCGTTTTGCCATTCTCAATATTGGGGTAAAATGTTATAAAAGTCTAGCTAACAATATATTTTTGGTGGATGAATCGAATTGTTTGAGTTTATATTGGTCTGATTACATATGTTATAGCTCATTAAACCTGTTGATGCTTAGTCTTTTACCTTTTGTTATCTCTGTTAAAATTTTCAGAAACCATCTTGGGAGAAAGCAGCTGAGATAACAAGACAGAAGTGTGTATTGTGTTCTTTTCTATTTGTTAATAAACCTTGGCAAATCATCAAGACACGCTTTTCTGATGACTTCTTTGTGGAACATCTCATGTTGCAGATATGATCCTGAAGATGATGGGCGTGTTCTTCTTGGAAGTGTTGATTGCACCGAAGAACCTACTCTATGTAAGAGGTATTTACCAAGTTTGATGTTTTCTTCCTTATTTCTTGTTGTTTTGGGGGGTATTATTCAGATTGGTTTATTTTTCTAATCTGACTTAGCCTAAACTATCAAATGAAATCTTCAGGAACCATATACAAGGCTACCCATCTATTCGGATTTTCCGCAAAGGCAGTGATCTTAGGTCAGTAGATTATCTCATTAGCTTCTTACATCTATCATTTTCTTGAGTTTTGATTCTTCATGTCTTCTACTTAATCCATTTATAACCCCACATCCTTTTTGGTGATCAATAATTTATCTTATTAAGGGAGGATCATGGGCACCACGAACATGAATCTTACTATGGAGATCGAGACACAGAGAGCCTACTCAAGGTAGACTAATCTAAATTAGATTCTACCATTAGGAATATATGATTCAAAACTGTCACATCCTTTCACCATGTTGTATATTTACATAAGAAAATTTTGTGTTTATTTGACAAAAATTTCATATTCGTTTCTTCCAGATGGTTGAAGAACTGCTAAAACCTATAAAAAAAGAGGATCATAAGTTACCTCTGGATGGTATATCTGTTAATACGGCTTCAAGTATAAAAAAGGCACCAGTTAGTGGAGGTTGTAGAATTGAAGGCTATGTGCGTGCAAAGAAGGTAAAAATGTTTCCAGTTTTATGAGTCTTTTCGATGATTTTTTGTTCCTTCTAATGGTGCCATTTGTTTTGTTTTCAGATTCCTGGAGAAGTCGTAATCTCGGCTCATTCAGGAGCTCATTCATTTGATGCTTCTCAAATGAACATGTCGCATTTTGTTACCCATCTCTCATTTGGTAAACTGATTTCAGAAAGGTTGTTGACTGATATGAAGCGATTACTGCCTTATCTTGGCCAAAGCCATGACAGGCTGAATGGAAAATGGTTCTTGAATCAAGGACAGTTTGCTGCTAATGTTACCGTAAGTCCCACAAAAACTTTATGTGGTGAAGTTACTTTTCTTACTCAGATTCTCTCTTTATAACGTCTGAAAAAAAAAAAAACAGATTGAACACTATCTTCAAATAGTCAAAACAGAGGTCGTTTCAAGAAGATTCGGTCAAGAACACTCATTGATTGAAGAATATGAATATACTGCTCATAGCAATGTGGCTCATAGTTACTATTACCCCGTTGCAAAGTTTCACTTTGAGCTCTCTCCTATGCAGGTTTCTTTTCCCGCGTTTTATCTCTCACCAATGTCAATGCCTATTCTCCTATTTCAAACCTCTAACAACTAATCAATTTTTTTTTGCAGGTCTTGATAAGTGAGAACCCAAAGTCATTCTCGCACTTCATCACAAATGTTTGCGCCATAATAGGTGGTGTTTTCACGGTATAGTCTAATAGTATTTTTTTTTCCCTCACTGTCTAGATTTGATTCATTATCTTCTGTATTCCATGGTGAAAGTATGATTCTGTTTGTTGGATTTCAGGTCGCAGGGATACTAGATTCGATATTTCAAAACACAATCAGACTTGTGAAAAAGGTCGAGCTCGGGAAAAACATTTGATCAGCAATGAGTTACTGGTTCGATGTTAGTTTTTTCAGGTTTTTATTTTAAATCTACAAAACCATATAAAGAAAAAACCTCAGTTTTAACATACCTTGTAGACTCTGTTTATTTTGGAATAGCAGTTTCAAAAGAGAGAACAAAGAAACAAATTTTTTTAGCAACATCTTCATTTCTTCTTGATTGTTGGTCTTTAACTTACCAAAATGTTTCGTTTTCCTTCGTATTAGTATGAATTTTGTATATTATTAACATTAGAATCACACACACACACACACACACTCACACATACATTAATTTACCAACTTAGCTGAAAAGAGAGAGAAACAGAGTAACAATGAGAGCAGAAGGCAAAAGAGAGGAAGAAGAAGGCGAAGCTGTGTTTCCTGGAGTCTCTTGTGAAGGCGCCGGGGTTATTTCAAAGGTTCCAGTGTAAGAAGGAGAAGGTGAGGATTCTACTGAAGGAGAAGGTGGTGGTGATGATGGAGTTGTTGTGTTGCTACTGCTTCTATCAGCCATGACGATGATTACAAGCTTCTGGTTCTTGTGACATTTGTCTTTGTCTCCACTGATGAAATAGTATGGTCCAGACCGGTCAAGCGTGAAGGAAGTGTGTCCGTCTGTGAATTTACTGGTGGCTCCGTCTGTGTTGCAGCTATCGTAAGCGTCTCTTGTCACTTGAAGCACTGAGTCTTGGTTTGGTCGGTAGACGAAAACTGCATATTCCATGAGTATGAATGTATGATGCCATAGGACTTATGTATCAAATCTAGCAAGTAGGTTTACTAGGAACTTACGCAGAGAGTCGTTGATTTGGAATCTGCTTTGCTCTGCCCATTGATTGTAGAGTTGATGATCTGAGGGAACAGTCCAACCCTTTGATCCTCCTACCACAAACTCTCTTGCGCAGACCGTATGAATGATCACCAAAAGACACACAAGAAAGAGTAACCTATAAAGCATCTTTGTTCTGTTTTAGGTCTCTTAAGCTTTTAGAGAGTTGTATATATTGAGATTAGATGGTGAAAGGAAAGAGGGTTTTAAACAAAAGGTAAGGCTTTTATGCAGCCTTTCTTCAGATTCTCTTTTAACTCCTTTTGGTTTCTTGAGAACAAAAGCAAAGCATAAATCGTTGGAATCTATCGTGACCTTGCTTGTCTTGATGGTTTTTTGTTTCTTTACCTTCATCATCATATTTGCTTTTTTGGATTACCAGAGAATATACATTCAATAACTTTTACAAGCATCATATCACAAAGATCTTCAATATATAACAACGAATCTTGTGATGTTAGTACCCCTAAGGGCTACAACTTTTTTGGATATTTTTTTATATATAAGACAACAAGGTACATACATACTATATAAATCAAATTGATTCATCACCAAATTAGACGTAATTTAGATGGAAAGGAAAATACGAGAATGAAATTTGTTGTTCTTTTATCTGAAATTCGAAGTTGGAAATGGATACTTTTTACTTCTTTTTTTCGAGAACCAGGTTCTAACAGAAGCGTGGTTCACAAGGTATCTTCATGCCTATAAACTTACTTTTTACTCTCACCGCCTTATGATTGCTTGAATCACAAGGCAACTGAAAAAACCATTCTCTCGCAAAGAAACACCAAGCCCTTGGCCTTGGGAAAACTTATAATGATCGAGTGGGGGTTTCTTGAGATAAAGAAATCTACCTAAGATAGCTTCAAAGAAGTTGCTTATAAATGAAGTAAGAGAAGAACAAGTTTTGGCTTGTGTTTTGGACTTTTTGTTCTGTTTTTGTGGTTACGATGAAACACAGCTAAGCTTATGAGAATAAAGAATGTACGTACCGCGCGAAATTCACTTTTGGACATAGACATTCGTATACTATTGTAGTTACATCCTTCAGTTATCTATTAGACCTAGTTTACATGACTATAGCCAAGGGTCAGAAGACTCAGAACTATAGTCAAGCATGATTTAAGCTATAAATGGTTACAGAAGGAAAAGACTAGATATAATGATTATGAGTGGATGGAAGTTGGAGGAATTTTTTATTCCACTCGTTCCTCTATAATTTAGGGTTCATTCGTCTATCATTTTGGGTTCAAATGATAATCATTATGACAGTTAATTGAATGAATATGAGTGAATAATAATTGAGTTAAAAAAAAAAAACAATTTCTCAAGTTTTCCTGCAAAATGGTAGGGAAAAATGTGAAAGAGAAATAGAAAAAAACTCCAAATGGTGAAAATTGTGAAAATTTTAGAAGAATGCTTAAGTCCATTAACTTTTATCCAATCTAAATAGAAAAAAAACTGAGAGGGAGGCTAAATTCCACCAATTTTGTTTTTTTTTTTTAATATACACTCATTTGCTCTCTAACTAAAATATCTTTTCCTCTATAAATTTGTTATATTTTCTATAAATTTGAAGTCTTTATAGAAATAAAATATTCGTAAACTTTTTCCATCACTTTTGTTGCAAATGGTGACATTTGAGATGAATTAAAAATTCAGCTGTTTTATTTCTCTAAAAATACGAATATTATATTTCTGTCAAGAATTCGCTTCAAATTTGGTTCGGAGCAATTGGTCTAGTTCGACTGAGTAAATTTTGATTGTTACAAAAACTCCAAATGAATGCCTTTCCACCAAAGTACTTAGTTTTGGTTCGATTATGTTTGGTTTAAATTACTCAAAATTATTGTTAGTGTTTTCAGTAGCTATAGATTTTAACTTCCAATGCATCACCAAAAAAAAGAACGTAACCTTACTCACTACGATCACCGTAATATATCAAATCAAAACCTTTTGTAAGGATGTCGACAAGAGAAACAAAACCTAGCTCCATTAAACAAAAAAAAACCTAGCTCCCAAAAAAATAGTATGATTTATTGATTGTAACATTTTATATTAAAAAAAAACAAAGAAAAAAGAAAGAGAAATTTAATGATTATTCAATGATAGAGATTAATATTAATGATAAAGTGAGTAAGCGAGAGTGATAGTGAGAGTGAGAAAAATGTTCACGCGATAAGACACCGTTAGGAGGCCCAAAAGTAGTTAGAGAGACGACGAATGGGCTTTATTTTGTTGTTAATATAATATAATATAATATAATGTCGATGATGACGACTTTATAACGTGTCAACTTATCATTGGTGCCGACATCTACATTCGACGGCCATACCATATCTTATTCTTACTTGTGACTAAACTTTAAATGCTTGTGTTTAGATTTGGCACCAAAAAACAAAAAAAAAACTTATAATATTCGGTCAAGTCAATTCAAATTCAATTCAATCCAATTCAATACATCGTCGACATTGAGGATTTGATTTCATGAGTTATGTTATGAATCTCCTTGTGAACTTTTAAGTACTGTTATACAAAATCTTACTGGCTACAGGAATCAAATTTGTAACACACCCAAATATCATCTTTCATAGTTGTATTCGTAAGAACTAAGAAATCATACTTTCTCTATATTTCTATTTCTATTGTTAAATAAGGAACCACGTCCATTACAGAATTTGATACAAAAGTTTAAATAACTATTGTTGGATTTGGGAATCAAATTTTTAGGATTACATCTTTATTTCTCTCTGTCTTTAAAAGTATTCAAGCGAAATTCCTTCTAATGAAAAAAAAAAAAAAAAAACTCCTTCTAATGTCCCTCATAACATGGCTAGGGCTCACTATCTGCGTTAAAGCTATAATCATCATTCCTTTCCTAAACATATGTCAAATGGCGGGAGAATCCTAAATATAATCATTAGAACTAGCCCTGGGCATACGGGTCTGCGGATCGGGTTCGGATCGGGTCTACGGGTTTCGGATCCCGAAATGTTAATCTGATTAAACCCGTTTTGGAACCGAAAATTTTTCGGTTTGGTTCGGTTTGGGTCTTCTCGGGTTCGGGTCGGGTTTAGAGATTAAATCAAAACCCGATACAGAACCAATAAAAAAATTTCCAATTGATTCGGTTCGGTTTTAGACCCAAAAAACCCGAATAAACCGAGATACCCGAAAAAATTCATGAATAATTAAATTCTAAACCGAATTAAACCAAAAATAACCAACAAATGCAAACAAATTCAAATGTCAAACGTAAAAAACGAACACAAACATCATTCTGCAAGTTTGAAAAATATCATTCTGCAAGTTTGAAAAAAAAAGATAATTTAAGAGGAGTCTTCAACTCTTCAAGACTTCGCCATTTTCCTGTAAACAAAAGGAGAAATGGAATTGGAATAAGAAACATCGAAGAATAAGAAGAAGAGATAGTGCAATATATATTTACCTTATAACCGGAAGACTACTGATTTTAGAGGTTGAATTTGCATTGAGATTCAATATCTGAAACCAAAAAAAAAAACTTGTAAAACTGCAAAAACCAAAAAACCAAAAAAACAACCTTGAAACCTAAAAGAATAGATAACAAACTTACCTCTCTCAAGTTCATCTTGCAATTCAATGTCAGCAAGCATTTCTTCCTTTGTAATAATCCCTCTTTCATTCAATCGAACTTCACACTTCAACCATTGCTCAAGGCACATAAGCACTTCTATCATGTTATGAGTTAAACAGCTACGGTGAGGCTCTAAGATACGTCCACTTGTGCTAAATGCCGACTCGGAGGCGACAGACGAAACCAGTATCGCTAGCACATCCCTTGCCATCTCTGACGAAACCTGTATCCAGATTGTCGAATTTGAGTTTTAATCAACTTTTGATGAAGAAGGAAGTGGAATCGGCGATAACGCGGAGATATCGGGGAGAATATTTCAAAAAATCTGTAACTATGTAAATGTATATACTATATACTATAACTATATTATATGTATGATATACATTCTTTCGGGTCGCAAAATGGTTCTCGTGTCTGACCCGAACCGAACCAAGAACCGAAAAAAAAAAATCAAAACCATTCGGGTTTAACAGTAGAACCAAAATCAACCTGAATTCTGTTTTCCGGGTCGGGTTTGTCGGGTTCGGTTTTAATGTCCAGACCTAATTAGAACGAAGTAGCGATAAATTTGAACGTAGTTAAATCTGTTGATTCGATTAACTTTATAAATTTGAGGATAGAAAAATTATAACTTGCTGGGCTTGGGTTGGGCTTTGTAATAAAATTTATACAGGGAGAGCTTAAGTAAGATTTTTTTTTGTCAACTTTTTTTGTCAACAAATAAGAATTGTTTAACTAAATTTTTTATTTACTAAAATAAATTTGAATTCGATGGAAATATGAAGTTCAGGAAATACTCTTAGCTTCCAAATTAAAAAAAAAATTAAACAAAAAATTATATATTTTTTTTGTTAAAGTTTATAGTATACTACATCTGAATTTCTTATCTTATCTATTTATTTTTGGGTCAACAGTTCTTAAGATTATATCTTTTCTTTTGGCAACTTCTTGAAATTATATCTTTTTTTTTTCTTTACCCAACTATTACATCACATATGGCCAGTCAGGACGATGATCCGGGAACCATCGTCGACTAGCTCGGTATAAATGATTTGGAAAAAATAAAAACTTATTGCTCGGGCTCCTTTTACAAAACTATCCGCCCGGACATTTTGATCTTTGGAGATATGCGCTAAGGTGAAGTCCAAGTAACTCTCCCGGAGGATACGAAAGGATTCCAACTCGGTTAAAAAAGATGGCCAATCTGCTGGGGAGTCTACCATACTCACCAGATCCGAACAGTCAGTCTGAAAGTGTACCGAAGTTATCTCTCTTTCTCTCAAGCTAGACATAGCCCAAATGAGGCAATTCATCTCGGCATGGAGGACGGAAAGGCTTCCTCGACATCCCTGAATTCCATAAATCTCATTTCCGGTGTCATCCAGAAAACTCCAATCGAGTCTGCTAACCGATCCGTGATTGATCTAGGAGACATCAATACGGCATAAGGGGGGACACTGGTTCTCGGTTAGGTATCTCGGAGGAGGTTGGGGAGCAGAACTCTCCATTTCTACGTCATCTTCTTCTGGTCGGTTCGCGATTCTCCAACTTTCTGCTTCCACTTTAGCAT